CGGATTGAAGTGGCGAAGAATAGGCTGGGACGTCAACAGTAGCTTTAGCTGCCGAAACGATGAGTCGCATTCCGAGCTCCACTCGAAAGGAACACCTTTTTGGAGAAGGCATGTGAGCGGATGAGCTATGTCAGCAAATTTGGGAATGAAACGGCGAAAGTAGGAGCATAACCCTAAAAAACTTCGTAGCTGCTTCACAGAGCGAGGTGCCTCGAATGCCTCCACAGCTGTTGTCTTTTGTGGATCTGGTCGTATACCTTCTTTGTCGATCAGGTGTCCCAGCACAAGTGTCTGTCGTTCACCAAAATGGCACTTTTTAGAATTAAGCACAAGGCCGGCCTTCCTCAAGCAGTTCAGTACCAAGTCCAGGCGCTCGTTATGCTCACGAAATGTTCGGCCGAAGATCACAACGTCGTCTTCCTTCTTCACCTTTTTTCTGAATGTTCATTCGCGCTGTATGCGCCGTGCATTGCAACCGCTCGTGACATTTCCCCGTTGGCAGACGAAGCCCGCCGGGCGAGTCACTCAGTGGTTCGTGCATTGCAACCGCTCGTGACAATATCGAGAAACTCGGATGCACACAGTTGTTATCAGATTCCGTATTAGAGCAGTTAAACCGTCCTTAAAATTTCATGATTGTACTCCAAGGCGGTTACGCTTCGCATATTTAAGGATCGTGTGTTTTTTAATTAGTAATTAGCATTGCCTTATGCATATAAACTTCTAGTTTTACTATTTCAAATGGTATAACTTCTTTATATATCATTACGTGTGACATTAGTTCATCAGGTAAACACATCTAAAGTGTAAGAGTAGAATTTAATTCCATGATTACAATAAATGCGAAACTCCAGACATTTTAGCATATTATATTACCATTTATTATGATTAGGTACCTATGATGATATTGTAAATGACTCGTCTCTCGGTAATAAGAAAGCAGGTTTGAGTACTTTTCTTAATCCTTATCAACTTAGATTTCTCTAAAAACGCACATGCGTATATACGTATGCGAAGAAACACGTGAGCCCCAAAACAATGAAAGAATATATTTTAGTGATTCCCAATAAGAAAATCTAACTCGATAGGATTCAGCTCTATTGACGGCTCCACGACGCATGCTGCGCCAAATCTGTTGATAAAAAACACCACTTCAACCTCTCCCACTAGTTTTTTTTTTCCTTTTAATAATGCGAGCCCTGCAGTTGAGTCTGTCAGCCCAGGCTTCCAGCCGCACTACTTGCAATGTAGCGAAATATTTGACCACAATTGCTTACTCATACAGGCCCTGTGGTCAAATTATTTATTATTTAAACAATGCGTTGTCTGTCCCACATAGCGATCCCCACGTGACAAAGGTGCTTTATAAACTACTCTCTTGCCGCAACCAACTAAATTTTCTGGTTGTTTGATGTGGCGCCCGTGGCTCACCCGACTTTGCTTCTGCAGTTTTTTGTCCGCATAGCTGGCGAAACGTCTTACCATCTGACAGAAAAAGATAAAAAAACACACATTACAACCGCGCCTGGTCCCCACCTCTCTTAAACGATGTGAGACCCGATGAGGATACCGAATGCATTCAATCACTATCCTAATCATATTCATCACGCCTCCCGGATTACACAGCCTTCGACTTCGACTGTTGTAATGATGACTGATCGCAACGTTAATATCTCCCTTCGTCTTCAGTCAGTCATTGAAAATGCATTCAAATTAAACCATGTAAGCATTCGTCAACTGCAATGGCTTCGGGTGTCGGGACATCGTGGTATATTTGCAAACGAGATGGCTGATTTACTCGCTCCAATACCCAATTCGGTCTGATATGCCACTTGCAGATGTTACCGCGGCTTGATTCACAATATTTTTCCATCTTGAAGATTAATCATAAACTAAAATATAGAATGCAAAGTTTTCTCACTTGAATTTTGCACGGGGTCATAAATGGTGTTCCAGGCGTGAACTGTAACTGTACCTCACAAGATTAGAGTGCCGTATTCGGCCTCTCAATGATATAAGCTCTGCTGTAAATGTGTTTCGAATTATTGTTTTACAAATTTGGAACACCAATAAGTACTCCAAACACTCTACTTTCTGGGGTTGCTTTGTCAGGATACAATAACAAGTACGTTGCAGAGCCCTCTGCAAATTTCTAAGTGACATGAGCAGATTGCCTTGTTCATTCATTGATCAGCACCAATTATTCTGTACCTTCGCAATGCAATAACTTTTTGTAATAACATACTAACAATTTTTGTTTCATAAATATAGTTGATTGCGTATTATGTGCTACCATAACTACAATATTACCCGCCGCAGTGGACTGGGGGTTAAAGTGCTCGTCTGCTGACCCGCTGGTCGCGGGATTGAATCCCGGCCATGGTGGACGCATTTTCGATGGATCGGAAAGTGGTCGAAGCCAGCTTAATTAAATATAAGTGCACGTTTGTTGACTATCCCGAGCCATAATTATTTTACCGTGGTTCTGGGACGTTAAACCCGAACAATTATTATTAGATTCACAATATTTTGTGTCTAAAAAAATTGAGATTCTTCCTTTCCCGACCTTTCTTATTATCACTTACATTAACCGCCAGCTTAATGGCCGAACCACGTAGGGGATGGTAGCCACTGCGAAGGAACACGCAAGCATGTTCTCGTGCCTTTCACCGGCACGTGACATTCCAGCTCGGACGAAGAAGATAACAGCGATCGAAGCGTCACAGGTCGCCATCTTGCAGTGTTTCTGACCCTCGTCCAAGTTAGACCCATCCTGTAACGCTATGTCGGAGTCCCAGACGTCCTTGACGCGTCGCCTGCGAAAGAAGCGTCCGGTGTGCCAACCTGAACGAAGAGGCCCCTCGTCGCAAATATCCGAAGGTAACTGCATGCCCATTTAGCTGTGCAGCGCATAGCCACCGCTATGTCTCAGTGGTTACCGTGTCCAGTGCCCGTACCTGAAAGACGCGAGTTTCATCCTGACCACGGTGGTCGCATTTCGATGGAGGCCTTATGCTATAAGGCCGCATCATCATGCCAAACCAGTGCACGTTAGAGAACCCCCGCAGGTCGACATCATTAAGGGCCAAACCTCATAAGCGCGAAAATGCACGCGACAGCGACGAGCTACGCGACGTAGATCGTCTTCGCGCGATCAGCGCATAGCAAACCTCATTCACGCGACGGCTTCGGCTAGCGAATTTCACTGTTGCTGGCATGAGGCCGTCTACTCGCGCCAAGAAAACCGCGTAGCGAGCGGTATGCAATTTAAAAATAAGATATATTGTTGTGTAATGAAACGGAAAGTGTTTATTATTGCCTTGCAGCACTTTTTTATATGCACACGCGTAATAAACATTGCGTTGTTTCTTGTTGCGCATACGTGACTCGGGCAAGGTCACGCGCACCTATGTAGTCTTGGTCTTTTCCGGTTTTTCGCTATTGGCTGCTTGAGCCCAGCACTTCCGGGCGATGAGCGACGGTTTCCAAATCTGGAGAACCGAGCGATCGCGCGAAAACGAGCACGTGACACGTCGCGCGAACGCCCTGTTTCGTCGCTCATAGCGTCGCTCGTCGCTGTTGCGTGCATTTTCGCACTTAAGAGGTTTCCTCTTAAGAGCTCTCCATTATACGAAGGCCGTCATAGCCCGAGTTGTTTTGAGATGTTAAATTTCGTAAACAGACGCACCGCGCAACATGTTGCCTAATCTCGTGCACCTAAGCAAACCTGAACATTGTGGTGCAATAGAAATTTGTATACAAGATTTGTCTGCTCGAGCTGGCGTTTTGACCAGTGAACCTGTATTCCTAAAGTTGTAGCCTTGATGAATACGAGTGCACTTGTTGGCGCGAGCACGCAACCCCTCTGTGCAAATTTTTCCATCGGACGCTTCAATCTTTCTCTTCCTGCTATATTCTGGGAAAATTGTGTTACGGTTATCGTAAACAGTTATTATGTGCTATTTGTCTTTTTTTCTCAGTTGGAGTTTAGTCAACCACGTGACAAGTGCATGAAAACGTAACGTATACGTGTTTTGATGCAAAGCGGAAAAATCTGCGTGTTACAGCTGGATTGGCCCCTTCAACCAGAAAACACACACACACACAAACACACACACACACACACGCACACACACACACGCACACACACACACGCACGCACGCACGCACGCACGCACACACACACACACACACACACACACACACACACACACACACACACACACACACACACACACACACTACTTTACCAGCGACAATCTACACATAAACCTTCTTGCAGCAGCCATCTTAGCCAGTGTCGCCTGATTTTGCAACGCTTCCTGAATTTTATTAGTCACGAAAGCAGTAATCGCAGATCTATAGGGAAGTAGACATGTTTAAGTTCGGATGCAGTCGCACGTTTAATTCAGACCATGCTTGCTGAAGGCAATGTTTGGTCGCTGGAAACGAACACGCTAACGAAACACGCTAACAACTGCCAAAAAAAAAAACTTCAGATTTCTCATAATTAATTATGTTCTAAATGCAACTGTTCAAAGTAAGTGTATTACACGTTACGCACCTGCAACGCACTTTAATGTACCTTGTAGGAGTTTGTCCTTTTGGCGCCTCAACTATCGTGCGATTACAGCGCTTGCACGCGCTAAACATTGGGTGAACAACAACGCTGCTTAAATTGCTAAATGACTTCGTGTAATATCATTATATTGTGTCGCACACCATTTTGAGGCTGGGCAATGAGTAGTATGGTAAATATTGCGGTTGAAATACGGTTGGCCACAGCAAACATGAGGAATTGGTTACACTTATCACCAACACGAGCAGGATACTTTTGGCTCACTGTGGCCGTATTCGAACGAACAAATGTCATTTTCCCGTCAGGGACTTGCTAGTAGACCAGGTGAGCCAACGTGAAAGTGATTGTGTTCGTGAAGGGCTCTTTGTTGTTTTTTTTTTTTTATGACAATGTTCAAAACACTGCGTGCCGCAGATGCGACATGCTCAGAGACCTCGAGCAGCTTCAGGGAGAGGTCCGAATTGCCGCCGTCGCGGTCCATCGGCAGGCCGTCTTCTTTGGGCACACAGTCTCGCCCAAGAACCACCACGGTGCCGCAGAGCAGCCGTCGAAGCAACGAGCGCCCTCCGCCGCTGTCGGGAGAAGCTACTGCGTGTCCGGTGACCAGCCGAAGACTTCACCCCGCGCCCTCTACGAAAGGCGGCCGCGAAGTTGGGCCTTCCGACGAGGCAAGGAGCGCCGCGGTGAACGCATCTCTTTCCTAATGGCAGTCTTTCGCACAATAGGATAGTCTACACGTGCTCGGTCTATGCCTAGAATTGAATACGATGTGTTCGTGTACGTACTTGGAAACTGTTACTCTATAAAGAGTCACCCGCAACAGCAGACCTCAGTAACGAAATTTAGAGACAGTGAAGATAGTCGGAGTGAGGATGGGGGCGCGGGAATGGCTTGATATACCAGCTTACTTTGTCATGTGAAAGATGGCCTTTCCACATCCCATAGACGGGTCATTTGTAAAGAGGATTCGGCGTCAGGGTTCGCAATACATATAAGCACACATATACAGAACGCCTAAAATCTGCATGTTGAACCTGAAGTAAAGATTTCGTTTCGTAGTAATGGTTGTGCGTATGACCACATCCGGTGATTTTGTCTTAAGAAAAAAAAAAACGATTGAAGAACACTTTGTCTTAGGCAGAAACCTGTGGCCAATGTACTGGTTATTCCACGTCTTCTTTACGCTCTCTCATAAATCACATGATTGCTGAGAGAGAGAGAGAGAGAGTAAGAGGGAGAGACCACAACTTGCACCGCTCGAGGCATGTATACGTAAACGTATACGGACGGACAAATAGACGCGATTATGAGCCATTATATAGGCTTTCGCCTTAATATACGAGGTGGAGGTGAAAGCTGCGGGTCGGGCCACTTGCAAAAGCTCCGCAGGCCGCATGTTTGACACTCCTGCTTAATGAGGTACTAAAACAGCAAGTTAGGCGAGTTAGTGTGCGTTCGTAACATTTCTCTAGTCCTGCTTGCTGTAATTGTTATCAGTCGTTAAGAAACACACGTCATTGCCCAAAAGGGGGCACCAAAGGTCGGCTCACACACGTGCTTTCAGTGCACTTCATTTTACAAGTTCTAACATATATAGTCTGAACCTGGAAAACAAAAAATAAATTCAAAAACCACCTCGTAGCATGCGATGAAACGAAGAATCATAGGCTTAAGTCAGATAAGAAGGCAACAGAATGGGTTAGAAAAAAAAAGAAAACAGCCATAGGCGATATCCTGGATAGGAGTAATTTCAGCTGGGAAAGTCACGTCATGAAAAGAACAGATCACTGTTTATCATTTACAACGTTACTATGTACGCTAAAAGATGGGAAACAAGGCCAAACACGGAAAGACGGGTGGAGTGACGAAATCGATCAGTTCTTAAGCACAAAAATGAAATTGGCGCACGCTGGGCATGGTAGATTGAATAACATTGTAGGTTGCTTCTGATGATAATTAAGACATTTCTTTCGAATAAAACATACTCCACCTGTCCAAGTCCCAGTTTTATTGCCGCTTGACTTAAGAGTCGTCCGTTCCTGACACAGAAAGGGACGTCCGCCCGAGACCTCCCTTCGTTCCTCGATGACGCCAAGACGGCGGCAGTCAGGAGATCTTCTGGCCCCGTCACAGTACAACGTGCGGCACCTCGAGCCGGTCTTGCCGTCGCCAAAACTTTGGTGGGAGACCGCGGACACTTCAGCAGTGACCCGCCGGCTGCAACCGAAGTGCTGTCTCCGCGCTTGACCATACCCAGCTTTTTCGAGCAACCCCCGACGCCCGACGTTCCGGAGACGCGCCGTCTTGCCGACGCTGCGCCCAACGAGAATGTCCGATCAGCGGTGGCCAAGGCCGAGGGAGGCGAGTGCGGCGAAGCGGCCTTCTCGAGTGTTCTGTCGGTGCGCTCTCTGCTCCAGGTGGAGGACCCCGACGTCAGCAACAGGCAGCCTGACGACAGGGAAGGTGAGGCACGAGAGCGTCGGAAATCGAGTCAGTTGTAGATAAATTAATTGTGAAGACGTCCTGTGCGCTGTAGAGTGTTTTAAGTGACACCGTGAACTTTTTTCATACCATCGAATATTGCGGAGAGCACAGGGTATAGTCGATGACATGCAACTATACCCGTGAACTACCATTTTAATACCAAGTACACTTTTCAAAATTTGCTGGACATGTTATTTCTGGCGCAAACCTTGGAATATCAAGGTGGGAAAGGAAGAAAAAGATGAGCGCCAATCTGTCGTCATGTTCCAATGTTTGCGCCACAAATAACATGTTCCGCCAACTTAAGCACCAACTCACCCAGGAAAGAACTCTACTCCTTGCGAAAGATTGCTTTCATGTACACGTCGTTATCTGTGACCGATAACATTACAATAGCTAGGGAAGTTACGTTAACATGAGTAGTTTAAGTACGTTACTGGTTTTCGATCCCACTGCCATAAATTTTTGTTCTGAGCAATACAACGTCTTGTGTAAGTTGGCGCTTTGAATGTCCCGATTATTGGGCAAGTGGTGGTTGATGCTTAAATGAGCCCCGATAAGCCCAAAACATGCTATAGCTCCCGTTGCGTGGCAACTGAAGTCAGTTTTAGCTTTTTTTTTTCAGTAAAGTCAAACTATATCTACTAACGTATTCCGTCGGGTTGTAACAGCCGATAAGCTCCATCGTTTGACAAGTGTATTTACTACTAAAATCACTTGGCATGAATGCACATCAAATTGCAGTGAATGAGTGTCCATGTAGGGCACGCAATTTTAATCATAAATAAAGTTCAATAAGGCTCGTCAAGAATGTGAATATTATTGAAATGTATTCCAAGTGCAAGAAGCCTGTTAGAAACTCATTATATTCAGTGGAGTTGGTTGTTGTGATGCGTTCACCACAATTTGAAGAATTCACAGCACTTTCATGGCGCTTTGCATGTTGCGTCAGACGTCCTGTCATGCCAGGTGTCCCTCTATATTTCCCTAACTACCGTATCCATTAGATACGTTGCAACGATGTCCTCTTCAGACGAACAAACGACGATAGAGCACGGAATGGTGAAAGAACGACAGCCGAGGGCACATAACTAGAAAACCCATGGTTTATTGCTGGGAGGGTCAGCTCGCGACGAAGACGATAAAAAGCGTCATGCAAGCACGTTTCATGAGGTCTCGCACGGATTGAATGAGGTTGCTGGTAAAATTGGAGTGCGCCTTTCATTCGATGCAAGGAACAACAAACTTGCAGCACTGCGTCACCAAGTTGACAAGGAGAGCAAAGACAAAAGAAACTCGGAGAATCACATAAAGTACTTCGTAGAATGCAGAAATGCCGTAGCGTACTAGATTCATTTCGCGAGCGCGCGTTGCTTCATCAGTCCAACCGGCCGACGACTGAGCACGCGTACATGCTTAAAAAAATTACGCCATCTTCAGGCAAGAAAACCACGTGTAGGTGCGAATCAGCGGGTGCTAACGCTTATAGTGGCGATGACGCTGACGCTGCAGGCGCTAGTCGCGGCGTTGCGCAGGAGAGAAAACTGGGGAGGCGCAAAGCACGCACTGATTGATGACATAGATGGCTGCTTTGCTGATGGATTACTTCCTTCCAAGGCCGTAATTCTGCATGTTTTGAAGAAAACTGTTCAGTACTAGTCACCATTTTTTTCGACTTCGCTGTCATTAGGAGGGACATAAATGGCCGTGCAATTAAGTTCTAAGGGCCTGTGCATGCTGATGTCTCTCCAGAAACAAAAGTTTGAAAGGAAGCTCTGGTAAAAAGAAGATACGCGCAACATCACCATTGTGTTCCTATTGTTTGGCTCTGTCGACTTTGCACTGTTAGCCTTTTTGCAGGGTTTCTTCTCGTACTCCTTGCATTATTTATCTTTTGCACTAACGCGTGTACGACAAACGGTAGTCAGGATCCGCGTTGTACGCTGAGACATCATACCTAACACGGAAAGATTGGAAAGGTAGTTGAAGGGGAGCTGTTTTCATGCAGTTAAATGCAACTATTCATGGGAAGAGCCAGTCGCGTCAACCAACCACGTAATTGACTGGTTGTATGCACAGTCAAGGAAGAAGGGGGCTGGGCGTTGGGGAATCCATTGAATGGGGTGAGGGGGGGGAGGTGCTGCGATGAACCTTAACCTTCCAGAAAACAAACCCTGCGCACGCTTTGGCTGTATCGGTGAACGTAACCATACCGCGTAGCTTGTGGCGACGACCATCCTTTGCCGCCCCGCCACGGTGATCTGGTGGCTAAGGTACTCGGCTGCTGACCCACAGGTCGCGGGATTGAATCGTGGCTTCGATGACTGCATTTTCAATGGAGGCGAAAATTCTGTAGACCCGTTTGCTCAGATTTGGGCGCATATTAAGGATCCTCAGGTGGTCGAAATTTCCGGAGGCCTTCACTACGGCGTCTCTCATAATTATATGGTGGTTTTCGGACGTTAAACCCCACATATCAATCATCAACCATTCTTTGCTCATCCTGCAGAAGGTTCGGCGCAGTTCGTGCTGTCCATGGTGGGCAAGATGGCCATGCTGTTGGCGTGCTGGTACCTGTTCCTCGTCTCGCTGGACCTGCTGAGCTCGGCCTTCAAGCTCTTTGCCGCACACCGGTCGTTGTCCATCCGGGGCATCAAGAGCGACGTGATCCGCAATCCCGTCGTGGGCATCATGACGGGCCTGCTCGTCACCGTACTGGTGCAGAGTTCCTCGTCGTCCACCTCTATCACCATCACCTTGGTCGGATCCCAGCGTGAGTGCACACCGTCGTTGCTATAGCTACACTGTATATTTAAGGAACTAAGAGTGACTACTAAGCATATATACCGCAAAACGAGCTGGATACCGGGCATATATACAAGCAATATATAAAGATCCACATACGTTAAAAATTACTTGTTCATCACTTTTGTCACCATTGACGTATATAGTCGCCATGAGATCTTCTAAACGACTGACGACGACTAACTCGTAATATACAAAAATCAGTCACACGCGGTACCAAGGACCACATTCGCAGCTGCTGTGTTTTTCGACGCCACGTGGACCCACTGGCCCACGTTTTTAGATGAACAGCAGCTCCTTGACTAGCCTGTGTAACGCTGTTCGTCCGTGTCTCCGTGCCAACGCACTGCACCGTGTTCTCCTTGCTGTAGTTGGAACGATGCCAAGTAGGTCAAGTCGCAGCTGCGCGTTGACGTCACTCTCTCCCTCACCCGCAGCAGCTGCAGGCTCCTCCCAACACACGAAGGTGGTGTCGCTCCTCCACCCGCTCGCAACAAACTTCTCTCTCGCTTCACCCTCTTCACCGCCCACAACGCTCGACCGCACGTCGATGGAAACACTCTTTCGGCTCGTTTATCTGCGATGAAACTTACACAAAACCCAAGCCACCTCACGTGTCCTTGCGTTTCAAAGAAACGTTTACTCGAGTAAACACTACACCCCGAGTTTCGCTTCAAACCGTTCTTACAGCACGCACGTCAAAGCCCGTTTCAACCGGGTCAACGCCGTGCGCACCACTGCTGCTTCACATCCCATCAGGGTTCCCTTTGGGGAGATGGTCCACAATTTTTTCGGTCGAGTTAATTCATCCTCCTGTGCCCCGCCTTGCATTGCATTGCTACCTCTAATAACACGCATGTGGTATCTTTATACGCAATCAGAAAATTACAGAAGCATTATTTCAGTGAACGTATCATTCAGAAATAAAAGTTCTTCAAAGCGAGCGAACACATATTTGCGGTCATTTTAGCACGTTTTTCTTGTTTTATTTTGGTCAGAAAAGATTTAATAACGTTCCGGCTCATGCACTCTCTTTGTCGGAATAAATCTGTCAGAACGAAGACTTAATTTTGCAAACTTTGCGACTTGGGGCGAGCATTTTTCAGCGTATGCTGTCGACTTCATTCAGAAAGCTGCCCTTTATCCTTTATCCCAAACCTTGGGCTCATAGGCGTGCACACCGAAAGGGGGGGGAGGGGCATGGAGGGCGGTAACCCCTAAGTCACATGAGAGGGGGGACGGAAAGTCAGCGCCACATTGACATAAAAGAGCGGGGGCCCACATATAGCCAGACCAATACATTGGCATAATAGGGAAAGGGAGGCTGCGATGAACCTCCCCCCCCCCCCCTTTGAGGGGAACCCTGTCCACGCCTATGAAATATCTAGCCTCATCATAGGCTAGATATTTCAAGTGTGCGTCATCTCCAATGCAATATCGCACTAAATCCGTCCATCATTAAATGCATGTTTTATATACAATTTACATAAGTTGGCAGATGATTCGTAAGCATATTGTTAGGTGCTAGAAAAAGGTGCTAAAAAGCAATTTAACGAAGTTGTTTTAGAGCGAAAACTCATCAGATCACAACTCAGGTCACGCACAGTTGTTTTCCGTCACCGCTGCCAGTATATGTAACAAAATCGCACGAAATTAAAATAAATGAACGTTGCACGAATGACACAGTGGGGCTCGAACCTGGGTTCACTGGGTGCCAGCCCAGTATTCTACCACTGACCTACGCCGTTTCTTTTCTTTATTACCACTTAACTACGCCGTTGCTTGGGACTTGCTGACAAGCTTGCGTTAGGCAAGCTTGATTTCGGGAAAGCATTCGCGTTAATACGACTTATAACGCGTTTTAAAACACCGAAAAAACAGCCAGTCGTCGCACATTGCGAATAGCGTAACGAGTGGGTCGTCCGATGCTCTAACCCATTAAGTCTTGTTCTTTTGCTCAGCTACGAACTTTGGCGCATACCTACTTCAGGCATAATTCTTCATCGTCGTCAGCCCCCTGCAGCATGAACAATTGGCACAAAATTCCTCGCCAGTGTTTAGCGGATACCACGCTTCTCAGGAGAAAGACGTAAAATGACATAGCGAATGCCGGCCTACTACACAAGATTTGTATTATTAATGCCGTAGTGGGTATCAAGCAAGTGTGCTTGCAGTGGTTACCCAATGAGTGTTTAGAAAACGCTCTGAAAGGCCGCTCTTCTAGCTTTCACTGTCACCGTGCTACGCCTTCCGCGCAGGCCAGGTGTTTTATAAAGTAACCCCATGCTAGAGGCCAATTGTTCGACTCGTTGCGTCTAAATGCCCTTTTCCAGCTGCACGTGACTCTCATCTAGGCTATAGAACAGGAACCACCCTGAATATTTCTCTAAGGACGTCGTTCTACAGGTACCATAACGTTAGCTTTCGGAGCAGGTCTCCTGTGACTGCCTGACCCTTTTCGGCGTACTTATCTCACCTGTCACGCAGTGCGACTATATTGCTATACGTTCCTCACGTCATGCAATCTACAAACATGCAAATCATATTCATTAAGGACAATGTGATAAGCTTGTGACAAAGACAGAACAATTCATGGTAGGTTTCGAGTTGGTATTATTATGGGATTATCTGATACCTCGTTGTGGCCCCGCATGCATTGTTTTTTTTTATAAAACGAAGCCTAAAAGTTCCTATTCAGCGCTACTTTGTGTGCATCCATCTTGACGCGTTCCTTCTGGCCTCAAGACATCAATGCATAGACGCATTGATGTCTATGGGTGATTCCACGAGAGATCGACACGGGTCCAAAAGTTGATATATTAGATTTCATTGAGTATTTTATATTTCGTGTACCTCTCACCAGGTAGCCCGAAAGTCAACTTCGTTTTATTATTAACGACATAACTTTCGAGAGAAAAATCAAACTTCACCAACACGGAGGCACCAACTTCGTCCCCTGTCATTTTCGAAAATTGCAGATGCTATAAAAAGACAAATATTTTTTGTTTCAAGGAAGATATTTTTTACCTGAAATGTATGTCTAATAAAGAATGAATTCATACGGTTTCAAGTTTGTAGACTTTAAGAAAATAGCTTTTAAAAATGTCTAATTTTGCGAGAGTTTAAAATAAGTTGCGTATTCCCCATCTTTTTTCTCCGAAAGTAATGCAAGCAGCGTTTTCAAATTTGACACGTTTTAAGGATATAGTGTGTTAATTGGGTACATAGATTATAGTTGCCGTAGGGCAAATGTAAATTTTTATATATTGCCTCAAAGTTCTCATAATGGCAAAAGTGTACTCCAGTGAAATTTGAATATTAAGAAACCCCTTCTTCGATTTTTCTTAAAATCTCGTAAATAGACCGCCGAAGGCCATCATACAGTAATATAGAAAAACATGTTGCATTATTTTGTCTTTAGCGACAATATTCGTGGTACAAATCAGAACTTTTCGAGAATGCGCTGATAAGTTGAGAAATCTAGTAACCGGAACGGAAAAGCGGCAATGAGCTTCAAACGCGAGTAAACGTGACCGCATTTGGTGAAGAAAGGCTGTTTTAGCAGATAGGAGTAACTATTTTGAACACGATATTCTACAGTATCTGAATTCACTCTTATACGTAGAGCACTGAGACTTCTAATATGTGGTGCCTCTCCATTACTGACACACAGATGGAGCTGCTGTGACGGCCATGTGTTTGCAACACGTTGGGTAAGAGAATCGAATGTTGAATGAGATCATAAATGATTCATAACAAATTTTTATCATTTGGGGCACAAAGACTACCGCATTAGAATGAAGAACACGCTTTATGGCAAGTTGTCATCCGTCGTCTGCTCTACAGATGAATTGCTGCGCGCCACATCTCTGAGGCAATGCTTTAGATCATATGCTTCAAAGTAGGGACAAAGATTGCGCCTCCCGTAATTTTATCGACAAAAACATTGTTAAATTCATTTTAACGTACTATACTTCTGTTTTGCATTCGCACTGTGGATACTTGCGCACGCTGTTTTACGTTTGCTCTCATTAAAGGTGAGAGACATAGGAACAGACGACAGATAGATCACTTTCGTGCTGCTGGTTTCACGCATAGTTGCATTTCCAGTAATTTGAGCCTCAAGGAGCGTGGCGCTGGCTGACCACTTCAGCCGGGATAGTGTTTTTTGTTCAGATTACCTCATGTTGCATAAAAAGAAAATACCTTATCAAAGAAACTTCCGCGAGGTCGAAGACATTGGCCTGTTTGCCCTCCAGAAGCTTTTGTCGAAAGCTGCCCGCCATGCACATAACAACGACCACGTCTGCTAGAACTGCTTAAGATGCCTCAGAGATATGCTGTCTTCGTCTAATGGCTTCTCAGCTGAAACAGCTGATGAGTTCGGAAGAAAAAAAAGGCAGAAGTCAAGAGCGGTGCGTAAACACGCCTGAAGTATTGTCACATATATTATGAATATTATTTTCGTACGTCTACGTGAACCACGTGAATATGCGAGATGTTAGAAGCTTCGAGAGACGTTCTTGGGAAATGATCAAAACCCTGCGAATAATGATTTAGTGTACCTTTCCCGAGGCGTATTCATGGCAATATTAGGGGAGTGTTTTGTTCCGAACAATATTGTAGGACCTATAAAGTACTCAACTTTCCTACTAAAAGAAAGGAAAAATACTTCAAAAAACAAATGTGTTATTTATCTCGCGAACAAACGCGAATATTTCGCAGCAATAACCTGTTAAGTATTGACACAATTGTCAAAAGGAAACTGCCTCTGCTTGAACCACTTCAGTCGAAAGCACTTCAACTGAACGCTACATTTTCAAGCTGGACAAAAGCGCATGGCAGAGGTTGTGGTGTGTAGTGCATCCTTATTGCGCTGACACAACAGTTCGTCACAAAGGCTTACAGCTTCGAGGAACAGCTCCGCACGCAGTGAAATGATCTGGACGACTGGACGAAGAGACGCATGCTTGTCACTCACAGTGTTTCGGGGAGATAGGAAATGAGCCTTGACAGAATGTCATACAGAAAGTTGTTATGATTTTCATTTCCTAAAGATCGTTAATCGCTAAATCATAGCAGGTATTACAAGAAACTGCTGTAGCCTTCTCAGAAACCAAGAAGTGATTGATTGATCGATATGTGGGATTTAACTTCCGAAAATTACCATATGATTATGAGAGGCGCCGTAGTGGAGGGCTCCGGAAATTTCGACCACCTGGGTTTTTTTAACGTGCACCCAAATCTGAGCACACGGGCCTACAACATTTCAGCCTCCATCGGAAATGCAGCTACTTGCGGGTCAGCAGCCGAGCACCTAAGCCACTAGACCGCCATTGTGGGGAAGAGACCAAGAAGTGTGATTTGCACTTTTGTTTACCATCGTCAGCAATTGCAGGCAGCCTTCGACGTTGATGCACCCACGCATGCTGAGTTCCACGCCTCTTACAGCGAAGGCTGTATAGCATCAGTGACCATAATCAGCTCCTTGTAACACCTGAAGAGCTGCAATGGCCCAGTACTGGCCCAGGTGGTCTGTGAAACTTTGTGACCTCGCGGTAGAGGACACTGTGCGTCAGCAAACGTCAAGTGGCGTTGTATACGGCACGAGGCTTCCACCGGCGTGCTAGCATTCTAGTGCGGTTAGGCAATGAGCTGGGCGGCCATAGGCGTGTGAGCCGGGGAAGCAAAGAAACCGTGAGCCCCCCCCCCCCCCCCCCCCCCTACTTTCGGCAGTGGTCGCTCTTCCCTGCACGCTGGGGAAATCAACACGGCAATAATTTCCGTCACAACAGAAATCACTCACTTATGTTCTTACGGGCGAATGAAATTTTACGACGCAATATGATGACATAGTGAAATTTTGCCATTTCCGCTCTGATGATATTTCTTGTAGGCTCTTGACGTTGCGGGTCGCGACGTTTTTTGCGTTTTGTGCTGTAGTATTGCAGAGCAGTTAAGCGCTGAACAGAGGCCGTAGAGTATAACGTCACTTGTTTATGTTTTTATTCTGCCGTGACTTATTGATGCTGTTATGGAAGGGAACGAGCAATCTTTTTATGGACCGGTCAAAGCATTTGCTGCTTCCGGAAAACAATTTTCTTCGAAAAGGATATATCATCACCACTGCTCTGTCGAAGCTGTTGCAAGCCGATGAGTGTGACGAATTGTTTCTGAACTTTTTGCGCACTAAAGCACCAAGATTTGTTTCCGCTTTAGTCTCTGACAAACCTGATCAGCCTTGCTTATGGGCACTTGGAGACATAGCGGCAGCTTGAAAAGTGGCCACGAATAAAGCAGTGGACTTGAGCTCAGCATATATAGAAAGCTCAGCTTTGGAGCTTGCCCCACAACTTGACCTATCGGACCAGAGAGAAGGTGAAAGACCATGGTTTTTAGCAGTATGGAGCTTTAGTTAAGAGGCAGGCTAGTTGGTTTTCACTGAACTTGAATCGTCTTTTACAGCCCAAAAAACATCTCGGACAGCAAAGGACAATCGTGCAGCGCTGCTTATTTCTCTCTATTCTTTTTTCTCTCAGCAATAATGACCTCTCAGAGATGCATACGCGCAGAAACTACTGAACATCGTTATGCTGCAAGCGCAAATATTTTATGATACTGATATTGCATCTCGCCAGCTGCTATAATTGGCCCTTTTTATGGGAAACCAGTGAGCCTACCTAAATTACATTGAGAAGATCCTCTCCGGCTTCGTAACGTCATGTAACAAGCGGGCACTTTTGTGGCTCACAGAAAAAATTTAAGTGCCGAAGAATCAACGAAAAATAAGATGCAAATAATTGATTCTCTTATTTTTTACGAGGTCGCACGTAAGTGGTCAATGCGCGATGGATAACTTTCGCGTCATTTGTTGCCTCGCGTAACAAGCTATAATGCTCTGTGCATGACAGAGGCTGTTTACACTAATCATATACAGCTAACAACTAGTTCGAAAGGAAGCAACGAGGGATAGTTAAACATCATAATTGCCCATATATATATACTTTCCGGCTGAAGAGTGAGGTTTGTTTGTCTCCCCCACTTGCGAAAGAGTTGGTACGCCACTGTGAGCAGCTCAAAACTCATTAAGTGCCCTGCATCACCAACTCGGGAACTGCGTACCAATTAGCATACAGTGGGTGTGCGTGGATGCATTCGTGGTTTTTGAGACAAAATTACGTCCCTCGATATCTAATGAACTCTCGCATATAGAACACATTCGTGTGATTAAAGTTGCTTGATCTTGTTTAACGTCGCAAAGCGCTTGGCCTATGCACGCCGATGCCTTTGCACATCACTGTGCGCCTTAAATTTTTTACCCCCCCCCCCCCCCCAGGTGACAACCCCATTTTTGCCGATGGAAAAATGTGCATGCCTTATTAATATTTCCATCAATATGGATGATGTAACACAAAGCTGGTGGGGGCATTTCTAGGTGATGTCGGCTCCTGCACTTTCCTGTTGCTGAGGTTTTTGCTTACTAATTGTCTCTTTGCGGCAATTATTGGGCGTTTTGTGTTCTAAAAAGGTAATTCACTAGCACGATCAAACGAAATGTTTCTCCCTTTAGTGTCCCTTCAAAGTGTAATGACATCACGCATGTATGCTATTAGCGCCAAATGAAACCCAAAGAGCAACAAACATTGGAAATAGTATAGCGAGCTGCGTCCAATCATCCCCATGAACCGCCGCTTAGCACTCTGGTTTGGCAGCACTGTGGATGTCCACGGTGATGACTGGACGGCGCCCACCATCGCTAGTGCTCGCCGCTGTTCGGGTTTCGTTTGACGCCGATGGTAGATAGTCGGACACTGATGTGTGATAAAATCAAGCTGCTTGCAGTGTTACATTACAATGTTCAAGAAAGTAATGATAATATCTGGGGTTCAACCTCCCAAAACCACGGTATGAGGGACAACATGCAGTGGAGGGATCCCGAAATTTTGACCATCCGGTGTTCTTCAACTTCTAAACCTTTTCGCCTCCATCGAAATGAAACCACTGCAGCTGGGATTGAACCCGTGACATTCGGGCCAGCAGCCGAGTACCACCGCCACACTACCGCGGTGGGAGTGTCTATCAAAGGAAAGGCGCAAATCTATTTTACAAAATGAGACAAGAAAGCGAGCGCAACTACCGACTGATACGTTGGCCTGTGTGGTCCAATAAACCAGTTGGTTGTGACGCGAGTCTTGTAGCTCTCAGTGCTGTCTGAATTTCTGCTTTTTTTTTCAAGATGCATCTCCAGCTAGCCCCTCAAGAAGTACACTGTCGTCCTTTATGAAAGGGAACACGCGAACGCGTGGCCGGCGCACTGCGGTGGCTGCCTACAGCACCATAAACCGACAAGCGAAGAAAGTACGTTCGCTTTTGGCGTCATCTATTGCCAAGCAAGATAATGAGTCATGACCGGTAGACAAGCGCTGCTAGAGTACGTTCCCTCCCCGCGCGCGCGGTGAGCGATACCGGGTGATTACTGCAGCTTGCGCTGGGGTCACGCACAACGTTCGATATGTTGGCAGTGGACTACGCGAGGAGTGAGCCGAGGGGGAGTGCAATCTAGCAGCGCTTGTCTATCCGCCATGACTTATTATTAGTATTATTATTTTAAACAGATGACGCTGAAAGCGAACGTGATTTCTTTTGCTGTCGGTTGATGGTGCTGAAGGCAGCCGCTGCAGAGCACAGGCTATGCGTTCGCGTGTTCCCTTTCATAAAAGATGACAGTGTACTTCTAAAATATAATGTGTTATCCTAAGTGGTAGCGCGCATGGTCGTTGTACCATGTACGTCCCATAACCGCTGATCTGATCGTCGCAGTGTTGAGCGTGAAGCAGGCCATACCGATCGTGATGGGCGCCAACCTGGGCAGCTCTGTGACGAGCAGTGTGGCCGCGCTCTCCCAGGTGACACGACGCGACGAGCTGCGCCGAGCGTTCGCCGTGGCCACTGTGCACGGCCTCTTCAACTGGCTCACGCTCGTCGTGCTGCTGCCCTTCGAGGTCACCTTCGGTGAGCACCTCTTACGGCTCCTACATAACACAATCCCCACCTCTTTCGCTTCATCTCACCGTCTGTGGCATGAGACGAACGCACGTGACATTTTCAGGAGATTAGATAAAACCTTCCTTTATGATCTCCGTGGCGTCGTAGCCTCCACAGCAAAATGGTGGCTGCCTGCGGTGGGCGGGGTTCATAGCCGGCGACCGGTAGTGCTCGTTCTGCAATGACGTATTCTTTTACAGTCCTTTTTTTTCTTCTCGTACGGGTACAGAAACAACAGAACCCCTACTTCTACTTTCACTGAGGACCACAATTTGCTGCAGGTGACCTGGTCATGTGGTCTCTTTGACTTACTGGCCCATATCTCTGCATGATGGTCGCTCCTTGAGGTCAGCGTAAAATTGTTAAAATGCTTGTGTCGCAGTAAATGCACAATCGCGCGGTGTAGTTATGAGGACCAGTTCCATTTGAGATCAAGAAGCAGGTAAATTCTTTATCAGTGGTGGTATGGTTATTTATATATTTTGTGCCTATATTGTTGTTTGTTATTTCACCCCATGGTGTCTAATTTTTTTTCCACCCGGTTTTTTGAGCTATACTAGTTTACATAGGATCTCGGGGTATTTTTTTTTCAATATAGTTGCGTGTTTATGAAATCGTGCCATATTGCTAGTGTACTGTAGCATCTCCGTAATTTCATGTCACTGAAGCAATGAGGGTAATAAAATAAAGTAAAGAACACGAAAACTGTTCAAAATACGTCACGCAGCACTGCATCGTTTTCTCACTGTGTGCTTTGCATACAGAATAAAAAATAAAACTTGACCTTTTCACTTTCATAGGTAAGGTAACGAGCCATATATTACCTATGCGTAACAAAATACGTAATCACCTATTACAATATACAGGTTATCATTGCTTTCAAACAAGCTGCTTGAGGTTCTACTATATCCGCACCTCCTGGACAAAAACGACATCTGTTCACATTTGCATTTTTAGTGGCAAGCAGGTTCTTACAGAATCCGATTGAGTACCACACGACGCTTAGATGCATTCCATGCTTTAACGTAAGCATGGCCGCGGCCTCAGGGACCTCTATATGAAGAAAAATTAAAAACGTAGGGAATGAGCACGAATATGAATGTCAAGTTTTCTTGGCAAATTAGTTTCTCGTGTTAGTAGAAGTTCTACTTTATCGGTATATCGAAATCCGTCTTCCAAGACGATGCGCAGAAGTCAGCATTGTTATGCGACAACCAGTCAAATTATTTGAATAACATGTATTCCGGTAAACTCATTACATCACATAAACATCATATGAAAGTGTCAACTATTACCCAAATATTCATTGATCCTGGTATTACGATAACTTCCAAGGAATAATAACCAAGTACATTGAAGCACACATACTGAAGATATGTGAACTACATCTGTTATAACACGTAAGGAAGACCAATCAGATATGCATATAAAGTAAAGATCAATTTGCGCTTATATAGCAAATGTTGAGGTAAATCTTTCTCTCTAAATGAAATCTAATTTATCAAGCTTCCTAATCTGGTCAAAAAGTTTGCGCTTGAGAGCATATAAGTACAAAGCAAATAATAATTAGGAAATCGGAATAGGCACCAAAATGAGAGTCATCGAACGAAATGAAGTATTCCAGGTGTGACAACATCCTGTTACAGCCGGGATCTTACGTGTAAAATATTAAAAGTTGCTTGGGTATACCCTTGTACTCTGAATTTTGTCCTAGTATACTGACCATTCCGATCTCTTTATCTGTATTCTCTAAAACACAAGACGCAAAAAATTGTCAAATACACCTCTAAAGAGATTACATATTTTGTTATTACTTTGCTTATCCGTTTGCTGTCATTTTTTCATTATTACTCCAATGTGCTCGTAGATTGTAGGGAAGAAGCTTAATTCGCCTGAATGTGCTGTCTGTGTGTTAACGCTATCAAACATCTGTTTGTACCGCAGCGTTCTTAGAATCGTCATCGCGCATGGCAGTGGAGGTCCTGGACCGCAAACACCGTCTCCTGCGGTACAACCACCTGCGCGCGCTCTCTCGGCCGCTCACCAGTTTCATCGTTCAGGTGGGCGGCTTCACTCGTGAATGAAGTCGAGTCACATCACGTATCTCAGACATGTCGCTTAGAGTCACTCAGTCGGTGACGCACCTCAAGACCCGAGCAAACACGAAGAATTCAACGCCCTCACTTAAAGGCAACGTACAGATATCAACCTTTAATAACGATACTTCGGGTATCACGCCCCCAAACCTTCATACGATTACGAGAGACGCCGTAGTGGAGAGATCAGCAAAGTTTGACCATCTGGTGTTTTTTGACGTGCACTGTCATCGCACAGTAAACGGGCCTTATACCATTTCGCCTCTATCGAAATACGACCGGCACGGCCCAAATCGAAGCCGACCACCTTTTGCGTATGCAGCCGAGCACCCTGGCCACTGTTCCACCGAGGCAGACAAAAAATATCAACCTTTGTGTACTGATAGCCTCCGGCGCGATTGTAACTACCCTCCATACTTTACAATGTCCTTCACGAAATGTATCTACTATTATAGAAAACTTACAGAAAGCCATCTCCGTGCTGCTTGCGGCATTTCCTTTACTGTGCGAGAAGGCATCTTCGTATTCGTACAAACTTTGATTATGGTAGAAATCATAGAAATCAACGCAGTGAACTTTTTTAATTGGTAGAAATAAGCAGTCCAGTCAAATGGGTGAGCTCAAGTCCTTCCTGATAAGCAATTCAAGGCTTCCGCTATAGTAACTGGGACAAACCACTGTTACAAAATATCAAAGCACCTCCACTAAACAAACCAATTGGAAATGACGGAGAGGAAAAACACCATCAGTGAGGAAAACAATGCTAGGACAGGGACTAGTAACGTATTACCTTCCATCTCTGTTTTATGCTGGCGGCATGTGAATTACAAGAGTACTGATTTTATCGAAGGTCGTGAACTTTTTTCTCTGATTGATGACTAGCAACACGCGGAAATCACCCTACGTTTTATAAAAAAAATTATATTACCGCCCTACTACCCTACGCTGGCCAAAAAGTTTCTAAAATACCTACATTACCACCCTACTACCCTATACGCTGGCTAAAAAGTTTCGAAAATATCGAAAATACCTACAGGTGGGTAATTACCCTACAATTGACAATCCTAATTGTGTGTGTGTGTGTCCGTGTGTGCGTGCGTGCGTGCGGTTCCATTTAGAATGATACGCGGTGTGTCCCAAACACTGATATTGCGCAGCTCGAAGAAACGAAGCCTCCGCAAAAGATGGCCTCCGAGCACAGCGACATTCTCGTGATAAACACAGTCCGCACCTGCTGCGCCTTCAACGGGAGCCGCTGCGTGAGACCCTGTGAGTACATGGCAGAGAATATTTCCCGAATAATTGTGTCGCAATGGCGATTACATGAACACTCTCGGCAGCTTTTCGCCGTTGCCGTCATGCTCCGTATAGAGTTCAACATCGCCCCGCACATCGTATGCTCTACATACAAGTAAAAACGTGCAAACACTGGCGACGAACGCGTCTGGAGAACAGAGGGAACCATGTCGACCATCCCCACGGCACAAAGGCCTGCAGTCGATGACTCCTAAAACAGCGGGAAAACACGCCAGCTATATTTGGCGCTCCCTATCCCGACATGCACCACGAAACAGCTCTTAAACTTGATGTGCTCTCGACGCTTGGAGGACGGACAGCACGAAAACTGCTTCGGTGCCTGGAGTAGCCACATTCCGTTAAACGAGCATTTTATTAAGATCACATCCAAAAGAGTTAACTAATATAGCATTTATAAGTATGGGGTTTCAATTTTTACATAATCAAATGCATTACTTCCCCCTTGCAACAAAGGCTTTCCATATTTTTACATGCTGGAAACATAATGTTCGTGAGGTGCACCATAGCGGGAGCCCCGAACTTAATACTCACCACTTGTGACATGCCCCTACAAAATTCAACGTTTCGTGTCAATGATGATACAGCCAGTCAACTATACAGGCTTGAACATTCGACCCCTTTATGTAGACGTTTTAGATTCTGTGTGGCAGCAACTACAAACCAATGGCTGTCTTCAAAATAACGGCGCCGTAAACCGCTTCAAAATCTTCTCCGTATACAGCCCTTATTCTAAAGGGTACACTTGTAAAACTGCGTTTACACGTATTCGATAAGTGACACATCCGTTGGTATCACCTTTATAGCGAGTCGAATCCATGTAAACGGGGGTAGGCGATATGAAGGCGCTCAACACTAATGTTCAGGGATTGGACGGAACGTATTTCGAGGAGAAAGTCACCTCGTGGACAATGAATCACGAGGAGGTGGCCAGCTTCGAGCGCACCTCCTTTCACCCCACATGACAGCATCGGTTGGAGAAAACGACGGCGTCTCGAGAGAGGTGTAATGTACTACAATATGTAAACGGCGTCTTATCGCATTACTTGCGATGAGCTAGGTAGTGCGCCTCCTTCGAATCCTGTCGAAGTCGTGCAAAAGCCGGCGTGAGACATTAAAATTCGAGAAGAGCTTTTGCAGTCTTTACCATTGATAAGCGCTAATTTGCCGTTCAAACACGGCAAACGAAAATGTCGTTCAAGCACGCCGAACACCCCCTCTCAACCTCCTATGATCATCGCAAGGCCATTTGGAACACTATGCTCGCCTCTTTAATTCCCATACCACTTATAAGCTGTACTGCAGTGTAACGCTACATTGTGCATTTAAGCATGCTGCGACGCATTTGTCGTAGCGTGCGTGTGCTAATGTAATAATAGTTGAGATTTTACCTCTCCAAACAACATCATTTTTCAGGGATGCCACGATGCAATGCCCCGGAAATTTCCACCATGTGGCATATGGCCGGGGCGTTGGCAGGATTTTGTCTATAGGGCGTGCAAACCAGTGTTGCGTAGGAGGTGGGAGAAGTGGGGACGGGGGGCAAGTGCCTCTTTTTAATTAACAATTAGTACAACAACTAACATACCTGTTCTGCCTCAGAAAAAAAGTGCAGTCGCTCATTTGCGGCACACACTACCTTGTAGGTGCAGTGCATCATCTTATCTGAAACGGAGATCTCGAAGGCCAGCCTTGTTCGCATGCAGGTCAGAACGCGCTGGCCCGGCTGCAGCTGAGCGACCAGACTGCCGGCCTCGTGCTGCTCTTCATCTCGCTGCTGCTTCTGCTCGGCTGCCTCAGCGTTCTGGCACGCACGCTTAGTCCCGTACTGCGGCTGCACGCAGCCCTCTCTCGGGTGCCACAGGTAAAGGAAGGATACCGCAGAACATGGAAGTTGAGCCAATTACCAGCCACGTCGAAAGAGAATCAAACCAACCGAATACTGCTCTCACTTACCATGTATGCATTAAGCGGGCCTATTTGTCCTGCCAATTATGTTTTTTTTACCAAACCTTTAAGCTATCTCATCTATGAGACATATCAGATTATGTTTGGTCGGGTCGGCAACCTGCGGCCAACGGGGCAAAATCATGCGGCCCTTGGTGCGACGTCCAACCCCTTGCTACTTCCTATATCACACCAATCCCTTGAACCTTCCTATATCTGAAAGCTGACACGTCAATTCTGACCTAAGATGGAAGTTCCGATTGTTACCTGTCTTTGATTGCAACTTTGTGACACGCGTGCCGAAAAATAAACGTGGTTTTCAATCCAGATTTGTAAATAATTGCAAATTCGCCGAATTTTTCCTCTCGGCCAGCAAGGCCCCCCCCTTGTGTCGGCTTCGTGAAACTTGGCTCAACTTCTGAAAAACTTGCCGGCCCCTGACTTGGAGAAAAAAACTGAGTGAAATACTATAGCAAGCCCTACTTCACAAAACATTCCTATTTGTTGCAATATCATTTATTGCTTCTCTTTCGCGGTGTAACTGTGGCTTCATTTATTCATCCAGTTGCTTTTCCAGAAACTATTTTACCTTTCAGCAACACCGGCGAACTGTTTCAGAGAGGAGGTTGTGCCACGCGGCATCAATTCCCACTTGATTATTTGTTTCGTTGGCGCATAATTACTTTTATCGCCATTGGGGTTGTTTCTTGAAGTTCTAGAACGCACGCATGAGCCCAACAGTGTGTACCGTTCATTGTGGCTTTTCCACTCGCGAGAAAAGGCGTGTTCATGCGACGTCATACACATACATACATACAAAGTGGTTCTAAGAGAGAAAGGAAGAGAAAAGTGAGTCCCGTAACTGTCTGCTTCAGCGAGCGACACCTCAACAGTAGCTCACAAGGGATGGGGGTGAAGAGGGATTAAAGGAATAGGAATAAAAGTGTAGAGAGAGAGAAAGAGAGATGAGGTAAGCCAGAGAGCGACGACATATCAGGAGATAGGAGAGGTGGGAAAGATGGAAACACGGTCACGGGAGTCCGAGGACGGGGCACTACTTGCGAGAGCTCTTGTCGGCGTCAGGAGATGGCGTAGAGCAAGTCCAGTCGGTCAGAGCTACACTGTCGTCGGAGGTCGGCGTCAGGAGATGACGTAGGGCGAGCCCAGTCGGCCAGAGCTACGCTGACGTCGGAGATCGTGAGGACACAACCGGTCGGCGCGGAATCCAGCGAACGAGTGCCTACATACATACATACATACATACATACATACATACATACATACATACATACATACATACATACATACATACATACATACATACATACATACATAAATGATCAGGCTGCCCTTCGACCATGAGGTGATGTCATGTGATGACGTCATCATGTCAAATCACCTCATGTAATTCCTTGATGGCGCATGTCATGAAATTTGGTGATCCTCTTCAGGACGTCATATGGTGGCATGATAGCTTGTGTTGACGACGTCAACGGGTGATATTGGCGTTTGATAAGGTATCTAAAGCTTTCGACTCAACTGTCAATTCGAAGATGACCTTGCGCCATTATTCATGAACCCGTCTATCCAGGGCCTGCTCGAGGGCTACGCCTGCCTCTGCCTTGGACTGCTGGCTACCCTGGTGATGCAGAGCAGCACGGCGCTCAGCTCGGCCCTGGCACTCGTCGCCGCATCAGCGGGTGACCGCGTGGCCGGCCTGCACCGCGCCTACCCCGTGCTCGTGGGCGCAAACATCGGCACCACCAGCACGGGCTTGCTGGCGGCACTCGCGGGCGATCCCACTCCCGACACCTTGCAGCTGGCGCTGTGCCACAGCTTCTTCAACGTGTACGGCGCGCTGCTCTTCTACCCGGTGCCGTTCATGCGGTTCCCGCTGCCGCTGGCGCAGCTCATCGCTGCCACGGCTGCCCAGTACCGCTGGTTCGCCATCGTCTACCTGCTGCTCGTCTTCCTCACGCTGCCACTGGTCGCTTTCATCCTCTCGTTCGCCGGTGAGAACTGCAATACAAGCCTCGAACGTGTTCATCGCTTTGGTAATGGTGTGTATGTGTCGTCGAAATGACTTCTATTTTAGGGGCGAAGCTTCTTAGGGCGTCGGTCTGTCACTCCTCCACATGTACGGAGTACTACGTAGCCACCGGTGGCACATACCCACTCTAGAGCGGGTATGTGCCACAAGGAATGGGAGATGGTGGTACTTATTGTTCACTAGATGTACGCATAGACGGACGCACGGATGGAAGGACAGACAGACTAGCAGATGGACGAACGGATGGATGGATGCATGAACAGACTCACGGGTGGACACACGGACAGACGGGCGGACGCATAGATGAACGCACGGATGGTCGCGCGGACGGACGGAAGCAAGAACGAACGGATGGACGGAAGCACGAACGGGCTGACGGACGCTTGTCCCCACGCATCATCATTCCCTCCGTGGATATGCTGTTAATTTTTCAAGTTGTTACAATGCCGGAAGCAATCAAGTACGTGAAGTATGTCTTTATTTTTCCAATATAGGTACATCAGGAGGACTCGATAGTGATCCGATGGAGGCCATTATAGGGCCCATGGCGCCAACAGTTATGATGTATATAGTATAGGAGTAACGTCCACTGTTTGTACATAGCGTCTTCGGATCTGGTGCAGGCCGAGGCAGGCCAAGATGCGGTGTGAAAATGCGACTGCATTTCTTGCGCCGAGAGAGGGTACCGTTGCCATCAGACATTCGCTTTCACCGACTACAGTCATCGCCTTGAGAGGCGCCCAGCCAGCGAACGGTCGAAAGGGAGGAGCGAGCGGACGGGAGAGTGGAGCGCCAGCGTTCTCGGATCACAGCGGCGTCCCGAGCGCACATATCCAACGCCACCGAGACGGAAAGAATTTCCTCTAGGTGGTGTTGACATATCCGGGTGTTCTGGAGAGGCGCCCCGCCAGAGAACGGTCGAGAGTGAGCAACATCATCTAAAGGAAATTGCATTGGAGTGAGGCGCGCGAGCGGACGGGAGACTGGGTAGCAGAGGAGGGAGAGAGTGAACGGCGAGAGAACGAGCGGCGAAGCACTGCGCCTACATTCTACTACACCCTCTCGCTCCACATATTACTATTGCTAGGGGCGAGGATAAACGCGCGCGCCCGCTCCTGTTGCTATGGGAAAGGGATTGAGAGCAGAGAGATAACACCTGCCGGCGCGCGGACGCCGCCGCTGACAACGCCCGATGTCTGACGTAGCCCGCCTAAAAAATGCATTTGCATTAAAAAAATGGCAGCATATCCACGGAGTGAATGATGGAGAGTGGGGCGAAGCATCCGTCCGTCCATTCATTCTTGCTTCCGTTCGTCTATGCGTGCGTCTGTGTGGCCGCCCGTGCGTCCATCCACCCGTCCTCGAGTGCGTCTGTTCGTGCGTCCGCACGTTCATCTGTGCGTCCGTCCCTGCGTTCATCCATGCATCCGCTCCTGCGTTCGTCCATGCGTCCATCCGTCCGTGCATCCATCCATGCGTCCGTCCATGCATCTGTCTGTGTGTCCATTCATCCACCTACTCCAAGTACCACCATCTCGCATCTTTTCATCATATATTCCTCATATAGAAGCACCGCCATCCAGCGGACATTCCAAGGACTGAACGAGAGGAGGCACACACACACTTTCTTACGGCTTGCGCTTCGTGTCCACTTCCCTCCTTTAACCACCTCGAGTTCATGGTATATACTAGTTCGCTGTAGTCATGGCACTGCGGCCCAACGCTCGCTAAACCTTTTTAAAACCAAGTAGGTTACGCCCAGCGAGTATAACGTAGCAACCCTCTCTTGTCATATAGTGCTCAATGTACATGCCAATTGCTGCTTAGGGGGAATGAGAGACACGAGAATTCGGCTTTTAGTTAACGCGCACGCTGCGAATTTTTTAATGTTCAACAATGCACAGAAGAAATCTCCCACCGGCACCACCTTGGAGGTCAAAATGTAAGACTGATTACACACTACTACTACTACTACTACTACGAGGGATGAACGGGTGCCGCTATAAGGAGCTTCGCCCCTAAAAGAACACACAACGTTCTGTCCGTGTATTCTGTAGCGTTGCGCATAATCCTCATTATCCTAAATAGAATATCTGTAAATTTATCCTCTCAATATTCTGAATAGATTAAGTGCGTATTTATTACAGAAAGGATGGTGAGAATGTCATGAGGGTGGGGGAGTGCGTAAGTGTTTGCTATTTTTTGCATACAGAGACATATATTATCCTTTTCTCTTTCTCTCTCTCTTTTTTTTTTCTACTCGGCAATGGACACCTGAACTTGCCCTGATTAGCTAAAAATTCAGCTAAACTTTACGCTTATTTGTACACCACTTTTCCATTTCTTGAACAAATCGCATGTTTCTTTTTCATTGGCCGTTTGAGTTCTATCGAGTAATCAGTAATGACAGAAGCTTGCTAAAGTGAATACAGAATTTCCTAGACAGTATGGACCATTTTCTTTTTTTGTAACAAGCATCTGTAGACAAATTGTACAAACTGCATCGTAGCGGTAGTCATATGCACTTGAGTTTGCACAACTATCAATTGATTTTTATACGGTCCACTTTGAATTCTTGAAATGCGCTTGAAATATTAAAAATAGGAACTATTTGAAGTAAGTTAAAGTTGCAAGCCACTTCAAAAAAACTCAAAATCGAGAATTGATTTTTTGCATAAATTTACTCGATCGTACTTTCTGAAACGATACAAAATCCCGTGAGGTGCACAAAATATGAGATGGTTTTGCGATGCTCAAGCGCATCCAAGTGAGGCGTGGCTCATGACTGATACCTGGCTGCCTGCGTTCATCGACACTTTCGCTGATCGTATGGAGCACCACACTCTTGATGCTTGGTTGCGGCCGGAGATCTCGCTTCTTATGAATTGGCAATTGCGTGCGGAGGTCGGTCGTTGAGCGTACAATGAATGCTCATTGCGAGTTAGAAGCACTGCACGGACACCGTTACGGCGAGCGTACGTGTGCAGATTCGCTCGATTCTCTCGTGTTGTGGATAGGAACCTGTCGAACAGGGGCGTAGCCAGAATGTTTCTTTCAGTGGGTGGGAGGGTGGTTCAACCAGGGCCAAAACTTGAGGGGGGTTGAGGGCCTTCTGACACCTCCCGAAATTTTTGCACGCTTAGACGTTTGCGTTGATACTCAAGTATCTATACGCCTACACATCGGCCAAAGTGAGCCGTTTTACATAAATACCTCCCGCAAAACATTCCTAAGTACAGCCCTGGGTTCAACCACGGTTCAACCATATATTATGTATATTCATGCGTGCGTTTATATGTGCACGTGTATATGTGCAGGCATGTGTGTTTGCATGCGTGCGTGTATACGGAAGCAAAATTGGAAATTTTGGGGAGGGAGGGAGAAGTGTATTTAAACTACGAACCCCCCCCCCCCCCCCTAACGGCGTCTCTGCTAAGAAACGCTAAAGCTCTGCAGACTTCTGTTTACGACACCATTACTGTCAGCTGATACCGACGCCTACCTGACCGCTAATAAAATCACGAAGCATATCTAAGCATCCTAAATGGCGAAGCTCTGTACCACGGTGCTCGGTAGAAAGCTGAGATGAAATGCAGCCTTATACCCATAAAAAAGTTCCCTTGGAGCGCTCGAAACGACATTTGTAAGAGCTATGAAGTGGGATAGTTGGTGGTGATTCATCTTCAAAAGAGCGGTTTGTAAGTACGGGACGAAAGACGCAGTACAAGACGCAACGACCTCAAACTACGAACTTTCGCGCCACGTTTGTCATCACATTTCAAAAACCAGTTGGTAGCTTACGCTTGTCCAGCAATTTTGTAGATTATGTTCTCGAGTATATCGGCACATATATTTCACAGTTCGCGTACTTCGCGAGCGGTGAAACATGTTTTTTATTTTTCAGAAAGAAAAAACAGAAGAATTCTGGAACATAATAACTGCTTTGGGAGGTTATTTGAAGAGAATAACGTAACTGACACGTTAAAAAAGAAAAAAAAAAAGTTAATATAATTGTTTGTGGTGTACTTCCCAAATGTTTATGATAGAGGTCGTAGAAGATGGACCCGGAAATTTCCGGCCACCTGGCATCGAAAGTGCGCCAAAATCTAAGCACACGATCCTCTAGAATTTCAAGCAACCGTTGAAAAAATTACTAGTTAGAAGCAACGAATCAAAACTCAGTGATAAAATATACGTGCTGTATGTATACTGTTAAACGTTCTTAAACTGCGCGAAATCTTCAAGACACGAGTAAGAAAATGGACAGAACAACACAAGCGTTGTCTTTTCTTACTCGAGTGCTGGACATTTGGCACAGTTTGAGAACATTTAACAGCAATGAACCAACTAGACTGCCAGAACCTATGACCGTATGTATACACATGAAATAGCGCCAATACACATTTGGTACAACTTTTGCACGACAGAGTTTCCTAAAATTAAATGGAAGGGACTTTAGCATTGCGATCGTTCAGCTATACCATATGAATGATGGGTAGTAATATACATAATTTGCCTAGTCTTCGTACTTGCAGACTTCAAACGCACTTGTGACTTTGTTTATTGCTGTGTTTTGATTTTATTTCGAATAACAGTATGAACCGCTGTGAACTTCGACCCGATTTGTATTGCTGAGCCTAAAATGCCAAGGTGATGACCAGCAACTGCTTCACATTTGCTGATTGTTTACTCATGACAAAGCGGCTCCAAGCCACGCGAAGACCAATGCCGAAAGAACGAAGACCAGACAAATTCCTGTACTACCCATCATTCCCATTATGGCTGCAGCCCCGTGTGTTGCAGCTCCCTTATACAATATATAGCGCCGAAATTCCCTGTATAGTGTACGTATTGGAAACAATGCTTCGCACAGCTCCCAAATTTTCTAAAATTCTCGGTCCAAGTTAGCTGGGACACACTCCCTGCATAGAAAGAGGTCAACATCACTTTATCGGGTACGGTGAAAGCAGATATTAATGATGCACAATCTACTCGAGTGTTCATACTTCAGTTGTTATATTTACTACACACCGTTCCCCCATGCGGTGTAGTCTTGGCAATGACCATTTATGCAAGCCTACATGCGTGTATTTTTCGTACGCTATGTCTGCATCTGCAGTGCTTTTCTTGGTAATACCAAGAAAAAGCTTACAGGGTGCCTTACGAAAAATCAATGCAATCCCACAAACGGCTACCAGATATCCGTCGCTGAATTGTGTGTTTCTAATGGCAACTGCAATTTAATTTATTTGCTACTTGAATAACTCGGGCATCAAGACATCCTTTAGACAGCAGACTAAATCAATATTTCGCTACACGAGATATGTGCTTTTATACCACCTGTTGCTCATCATAGCTGGTTGGGATCGCTATTATACCATATTCTCAAGTGTCCTTAGGATTCCCCAGTCAAGTGGTAGCGCGGCCTGAATTCGGTGATTGCTCGTTACATTTGGACATCAGACCTAGCATGTTGTGTTATGTTCAAATTCATACACAGTGCTGCAATGTAAACACAAACCCTGTCAGTGAAAGCCCCAAGAGTTTAGTCACATTGAATTTTGAATCTATTACCTCCCATGTAAGCATGCTCTCAAGAGCATTAAGGCCAGTGGCCGCACATGAAGTGCATGACCATGCGAGGAAGTGATCGCAGACATTTGTGGAAGGGCCATATAGGCAACAACAGCCTATACATGTTCTCCAGGCAACCCGCTCTTTAGCACCGTGGGCGTGCCGCTACTGCTGGTAGCGCTGTTGCTGGTGGCGCTGAACACGGCCCAGCGACACCGGCCGCACTGGCTGCCGCCTTTCCTTCGCTCCTGGTCCTGGTTGCCCCTGTGGATGCACTCGCTGGCGCCGCTCGACGCACTGCTCGAACGGCACGTGCTGAGGCGCTGGCGTTTGCTGGACGCCTTCCTCGGACCACCGCCGCTGCCATCTGCTACGGCGACCATCGCCTCGCAGAGAGACTGACGCTGAGCAGCCGCAGCAACAAGGCACCTTTTGCGCGATGAACTTGGACTGGCTGCGCCCAGTGTTTTCTTGTTTGATGAATTCGAAACATTAACGTGTAATAGGAACGCAGTTTAGACTGAGCTTTATTTTTCTTTGTGTATCACGTATACACATCTATTATATATGGAAAAAATAAACTTCGTTTCACTTGCTCAAATACTGTGCACTTTTGCCGCGGCACACGCTGGTAATGTCACGACCCATGATTCTAGCATATGGATGGGTCGCACCATCTATATCTGCATGAAAATTCACGCCAACACCGAGGCATGTCAATGAAGAGCCTTTTATTTATCCCGAGCATAGTTTTGATGCTTCGACACTCTTGCAAGTACACATATATTGTTCTAGGTGCTCTGTAAGTGCATGAAATATACATTGATGAAGTAGAGACATTGAGGATATATAAATGGACACACGGACTTCTTTATACTTTGCTGCTTCAAGCCACACACTTAAGAGAATAAACAAATGGTTTTATTTTGCTTTCACCAGCGGACGGTCTTTTTCTTGATGGCGTGATTTGTCTCCTCAATTGCAGGTCTTGAATGCGAAACATTTCTTGCTTCGAAACAAGCCAGCTATAACACTTGTACGACACTTGACCTTCGAGAGCAGATTGCGCAATTGGGCTTGATGCGCATCGCCTTCTCATTCAGGGTTGCTGTAGGCGGCCTTTTTCTGACCCCGTCTGGCGACAGGAATTTTAGGTTGGGGCTATGGCTGCTTTCTAGCTACCTTGAACTTCTTCTGTTTTGGCGCACTTACTGGCCACTTCTTCATATTTTTTTATTAAATAAAATATAAAAGTCTACAGAATAACCATTATTTGCAAGCGTTTTTGTAGTGCAGTGGTGGGAACGCCTTCCAGCATTTTGGAGCAGCCATTGGAGCAGGCAAAATCTGCTTTTGGAGCAGCTACCTCCATTTGGAGCATGCACGAGCTTTCCATTTTTATAGAGAAGCAGCAAGCCCACAAAATAAGCACAAAAATAAACAAAAGTAAGATTGCATGCAGAAGCGGTGACATAAGATAGTGAAGGATATTGCACCAGCAATGAAAAGTGCAGCGTGAATTTCATAGCAGCGTGTGTGCACACACATACACGCTCGCACACTCATTCAAAGCTCGTTACAGTAAAACCTCGCTATTTACGTACATGTCAACAACCAGCCAGGAACGCGGTGAACTACACACTAAACGGAGTATGCATTAACCGAGCACATAAGCGTGCGCAGGGTTGCCCTTCAGTGGTGGGGACGTCACAGCCCTTCCCTCCCTATCATGGCAATGTATGGGGCTGGCGCACTGCCTCGCTGACTAAGAGAATGTTCAGCGAAGCACATAAAGGGTGATATCACATTAAGGTCCATCAGTTACAATTGAGGCTGTATGTGATCTCTGGGTGTGCAACTGCTCGACGCGCGTCATTGGACACTGCAGCAAACAGCATTTTTGATCACAATTAAGTAGCTTGGGCTCAACCACGAATGAACTATGCCAATAGTATCCCCTCACATGCTCTTGCAAACGGTGAAGCCTTTCCACACAAAGAATTCGTGAAGCAACACCAGCGCAGTGACAAAAATTATTCGTCCGAGCACTGAGCAAGGGGAACCAGTCACGTTTCCTATGATGAAGTGGCGGCCGTCCCCGAGGTTTCTAACTCGGTGCTGAGCCAGAGGAAATCAGAGCCAGAGGAAATTAATGTCGAAGTGAATCCTGCCCCAGTCGTCGGAATACGGTCAACAAAGCTTTATTACACGTCTGCATGAATACAAACTTGAGGCTGCCATCCTAACAATACTGAGCCAGTCGATTAACCGGCGGTGTTAGTCACCGCACTAAAACCGACCGACATGTGTTCTGCTCTGTGCCCTACAGGCGCTAGAAACTATAAAGCTGGCGCCATCAATTAATGGTCTGGGCTTTTGTCGTAAGGCTTAGGAAGGCCGAGGCCAACGAGGCGTGCCGACTCTTCAACGCTGCGCTCCCCGCGAGCGTGGTATTGCAGGTGAAGCTCCTGCAAACAGATAAGGAGTGGCCATAAGTTGAGGTACTATTTACTCTATTTCCATTATACCGTACGGCTAATCGTTACACACAGTTGTAGTAAGCAATGTGCGTTAGGACCAGTCAATAATCCATTGGTACTTGGCACAAACTTTATTCAGAGACAAGGGAGACAGATTGCAACACACGCACACACACACAAGCGTCGACTCTCAAATGAATATTCGTCACTCAGTAGATTTGTGGAAGCGGAGCGACAAAGGCACGCGGTTACCGTTATAAATGTGTGTTCGAACAATAAATATTCCCCTTGCAAGTTGACATCTGCACGCGTCGCAATCTTGCGTCTCTTGCATGAGCGTGCACAGGCTTGCTTTGCATGGGGTGGGGGCGTAGGATCATTGCAGTACCCTCCCTTCTTATTAAATGTACGGGCAAATGTTGAGCCCCCCCCCACCCCCCTTCGTGCACACGCTTATAGTCGCTTGTCTCTGGAGTTTTCGTTTAAGTAGTATCAATAAAATACGCACAAATACTTCGCAGCAGTGGCAAGCTTCGGTCATATCATCTGAGCCATTTTTGCTACACATTCTTGCTGCGGATCACTTCTTCGCAGCCTGCACAGCGTACCCGATCCTTCTGGACAGTTGGACACGTGTCGGCCAAATTCGCCGACTCCGTGCAGCACAAATGGGCAGTGACAGCGGCCGCGTCAGTGGTTCGGCGCGAGTGTACGACGGCCATAAAAGCACTGTTTTAAGTATCAAGACCTTCACTTGGCAGCAGTAGCGAGCTTCAGTCATAGCGTCCGAGCAATTTTTCCTACAATCCTGCCGCAAGTTAGTGCAAAGACCTTTGCAGCTCTGTTTACATATTTGCTTATATATTGTCACTGCTGCCAAGCTGCGTCAATTCTTATGATGAAATTCTTCGTGTAAATTACAACCTTCCTCACAGACTTAAATTGGTCAACTTGTATACGAACACGAAATGATCAATGTTTGCGAGCTACACAATAGAAGGCTTTTACACCAGTATAAGATCGAAAAAAAAAAATCGTTTATCTACTATTACACATATCACTTCCATGAAACATTATCAATCAAAACACACACATCGTCATCAGCCAGCCAGGATGCTTCCTCGTAAAGAATTAACAATGGACAACAAAAAATTACTTATCATATACTGTTACAATTAAACAGGTTATATTCCTCAGGTATTAACATGGCAAACATCCCCCTTTCTGAACTTCGCCACTATCTAATTAACGCTCCTAGCATTTAAAACATTTTGTTTCAACTTCTTGACTAAAATTAAAGAAATAACAAAAACAAAAGGACAAAATACAACCACCAGTGTACATGAATCTTGCGCTTAGTGTACTTGTGGTTTACATATTGAGACTTTGGGTATATGCTTTGACATATGTTTATTGAATTGTTTATTTTTTTTTTGTTTTACAGCGAAAGCTGTTATGAGAGCACGGGTCTCGCGCAGTTGCCCGCCGCTGCCAGCCCAGTATTCTGCCACTGAGCTACGCCTGTACTTGTGATTTGATGGCTCACTTGACTTAGGCAGGCTTGATGTAGATAAATCCATCGCGTTCTTATGACTTATAAATTGATTTAAAACAGCGAAAGACCAACCAGTCGTCGCACAATGCCGCTAGCGTTAAGCGTGGGCCGTCCAATGCTCCAACCCATTATAAAAGCTTGTTCCCCTAGTAACCGTGGCACATAACCACTTAAGCCATAATTCGTCATCGTCGTCAGCCACAGCATGAACTATTGGCAAAAAAAAAAAAAAACTCCTTGCAAGTGTTTAGCGGATACCACGCTTCTCAGAAGAATGACGAAAGATAGCATGGAGAATGCCGGCCTTCTACCCCCCAAAAAATTATTAATGCCCTAGTGGGTATCAAGCAAGTGTGCTTGCAGTAGTTACCCAATGAGTGTTTTGAAAGGCTCTGAAAGGCCGCTCTTCTAGCTTTCGCTGTGACCGTGCTGCGCTTTCCGCACAGGCTTGGCGTTTCTTCTTTTTGTCAACATTCACTGTTTGCACTGTGTTTGAAAGCTGTGTGATTTCTAATTTAGTTATTATTAAATTTTTTTTTCAGCTGTAGTGTTCCGTTGCGGCCAGCGCCTCTGCCTTATGTGTAGGTAATAGAGGTTTTTAGCAAGCTACAGAAACACTTTATGGAAATACGACACGTATGGTTCCTTTCCCTATGCGCGTACAATACTTTTGCACACATATGTTCTCATCCCGGAGTCTATGCCGAGTTGTAATCCCATTAGCACCACTTAGCATATTTTCCATAGCACTCATTTCGTGGTGTACACAACAAAACAGCAATTTTCACAGTTATTCTGCCGTTCGAATGGGAGTCTGCCTATCCTAAGCAAAATTATGCAAACTTTTTACAGCCTCGATAACTTATAGTTATGAAACCTTTCCTTCTGTATCTTGAGAGATTTGTGTCACGCGACTGAGGAGTAACCACCAGCGTATCGCTAAAGAGCAAGCATGAGGCGCGCGCAGAAAAAGGAGACAGGCAGCAGCCGAGAAGCAGCCGAGAAGGAGACTCCTTGCCGTAAAGTCTTATCGCTGTGACCGCAGCGACGCCAATTCTCGGGGCTAATTGGGGGTGAGAACTCAGTGAGATCACTTTTATTCTCATCTTCTCCATCGACTTTGTTTCGGTGAAAATGAAACTAGTATCATTATCGTTACTGGTACTGGTTAGGGTATGCTTTATATACATTTCGCAAAACATTCAATGTTGACTTTAGGGCCACAAATGTTTACCTATGTTTCCAAAGTAAACACTTGTTTCCAAATGCCTTTCCAAATGACCCAAAGTTGCTGTGGTACCATGCATGCCACGTGGTGATTGTTTGGGGCATTGAACCTTTTGTAGGTTGTCCTATACTTTTCATAA